ACCTTTTCTTTTTTTTTTTTTAAAGATTTTATTTATTTATTTGAGAGAGAGAGAGTGAGAGAGAGCATGAGAGGGGAGAGGGTCAGAGGGAGAAGCAGACGCCCCACTGAGCGGGGAGCCTGATGTGGGACTCGATCCTGGCACTCCAGGATCATGACCTGAGCTGAAGGCAGTGGCTTAACCAGCTGAGCCACCCAGGCGCCCCATCACAACCTTTTCTTAAGGATTTATAAATCCAATATCAATTGCACACTAAAGAGTAAAAACAAATAGAAAAATTTGTTTATAATAATATACACAAAAACCAGGAAGTTTTAAAAATTATGCTATTTATGCATTCATACTACTCATATTACTTCAACCCCAATTTTGAAATACATGAAAGTTATTCTGAAGCTTTGATTTTCATAAAAAATACACAAGGATCATGTTGACATAAAGATTCTGATATATCTGGATGGGACCTGAGATTCTGCACTTCTAATAAGCTTCAACGTGGTGCTGATGCTTCTGGTCCATGGACCATACACTGAGAAACAAGGATTTAAGCTATCCGCAGAGAAGTACACTGGATTTCTTCAAAGTTGTTGGCTTTGCTAGGTTGGGAGGATAGTTCTAGTCTCTGATTTTCCCTCTAACTTGTACCTGGAGCATAACAGGTCTTTTTGAAACTGAAATACTCAACTCCTACCCTTCCTGACCAGGAGGTTTGGAACAAGCAGGGGCAAGAGAGAGTGAGTGTGTGTGCACCTGTTTGGAGTGTGTGTGCACCTGTTTTGCATCTGTTTGCAACGGTTGTACCTTCATGCTTGCATTAAGGGAAGGGTGTCAGCAACTCTCCTGTGACTATCCTAATGTGAACTTGCATTCATCTAAGCACACAAAGTTTAGAGAATTGTCAGGTTCAAATATGCCCTCTCTCTGAGGTTAAGCCCCAGCTTATTTCACACATTTCAACATTTTCCATGTGGATGCTGTTAAGGTTGCCTGGAATTTGGAGATAAGCCCAGGATTAGTCCTGCTTTAAAGTCATCATGAAGCCTTGTTATAGGCCTCAAGTTAAGTTGTTAAATGTATTTCTGAGAACTTACTGGAAAAAAAAATAATCACATTCACTAACTGGTAAGCTTCAGGTAGCAAAAACAGTGCTGTTGTTGAAAACTTACCTGCAGGCCTGTACCTTCATGTTTCTGTAGACAGAGGGCTTCTGATAGGAGGCTAAAGCAACATTCCATTTACCAAGCTTGCTTTAGGAAGAATATCTAAACTGAGAACTGCTGGAGAGGACATGCACTGGTTTGGGTTTTGTTTTGTTTTGTTTTGTTTTTTCTTTATAGCGGGGTCAAAACTATTCAAGCAGATTTTTAAAAATCATTTTTGTAATACTCAAAATTATTCTATAGTTATAAAATACTTTAATATTTTTTTCTCTATTGCTATGAAATCAACTACTACAGGATTTGCCAATTACTAGAGGGCTTACATTTTTTGGAACTCTGAATTCCAAGTGATATTGAACTGGTGCTATTAAAATAGCTAACATGTTGGTTATTCTTTTTTTATTTCTTTTTTTTTTCTTTGCATATGTAGCTATTCTATTGACCTAGAAGACATAAAATATAAGGCAGTAATATTTGATTAAGTCTTGTCAAAATTTTATTGCAGAATAACCAGAAAAGCTCTAATGCAAAGGTGTTTAGATGCATATTGACCAGACTTGAAAGTGGAATATATTTCTGAAAATAAAGTGTAACATTTCAGAAATAATTTCCTAAAGGAAGCTAAAAAATACAAACAAACAAACAAAAAGAACCCTATCTTCCTATACTTTAAATTTTGACTGGCCTACTTAGTGTGATTTTTAAAGAATTGGTGAAAAAGACCCTACATGTTGCAGGCTTACAATTTCTGGGTTGTCAAAAAATGTATAAATATACTTTAAAATATAATAATTTTTCACAGCATGTGTAGAGATAATATCAGAATGAAAGGAGCAAAAAAACTTCTCTGTCTTAGAATCTCTGTAAACCAGATGTTCTAAGATATCTTCCTTCTTTTATAATGGAGGAAATAAACTTGAAAGGAATTTTGATAAACATTCATGTAAGGCCCCTCATGTAATATAGGGAGGTAACATGCTCTTTTTATTCTCCTTTTAATGAACCTCTAGAATGTAATTTTTCTTCCACATCTGTAATAAGTTACTTGCTGTTTGGTAAAATTTGATTTTTTTTTAAATGTTAAAGAAGTCTTAATTTTTCTAACATGCTATGAATTACCACAATTTGTCTTCTCATGCCCTCTGACTTCTGTTGGTTCTGGAGATGATAGATAGGTAGATAGATGATAGATAGATAGATGATAGATAGATGATAGATAGATAGATAGATAGATAGATAGATAGATAGATAGATAGATAGATAGATATAGATAGACAGATGATAGAGATTCTTGTGGACTAGATTTGATTAAATTAAGAGGATCACCACAAAGAAGTGTGGAGACTATTTATATTATAGTAGTAGGGGAATATTTGATGAGTAGAAATCAATAGTTGAGAGCAATTACTCTCCTTTGCAGTGCACCATTCGCTCAACCATCCAAGGTAGGTTTCCATCCTGACCTCTCTATGAGGAGTTACTTAGATAACTAAGGACTTATCTCCATTTTGATAAAAAAAATTTGAGACACAGAATTCATTAACCTGATGTCATATAGTTAATAGTTGGTGTTAGAATTCTAACTTGTATTCATCATGTTAATGTTCTGTATTTCCCATAATTCAGGAAGCAGGGCTGATGCTTGTTAAGTCCACCTATTGCCTCATATTCTGTCACATGAGATTTTTAAAATCTCAAACAAAAATCTGGAAGAACAATCTTTCCTATTCCATGCAACTTTAGAATTATGACATATTCTAAAAGATTACAAAAGTATTGTTATCACCTATTTCTTTCAAAGTTTATTTTTACACATATCAACAGGTTAACATAATGAAAAGCAATATTCATTTTTTTTTAACCTTTTGAAAGTTTAATGCTCATAAAGTAATACTTCCAACTTGATAGTTCATAGGAAGAGAAATCTCTAAATTAAAGACTTACTAGAACTTTAAAAATCTTTGTTATCCTTAAAAATGTCTGATAGAAAAGTCAAAATCACTATTACTATCCCAAATAATCCTTTTTCTGTTGTCTTACTTCTTTTACACTAATCACATTGACAGTCTTCTGTCATTTACTTCCCAGTTAACATTATATGCAGAAAGATAGTCCATCAAAGTTGCTACTGTACAAAAGATGACAGTGATGTGAAGTCAAGACAAATGTAGATGCCACTACTTTCTCCCTCTTTAAAGATGTTTAAGTGAAAAATCCATCTGAGAAATATTCAGCAAAAAATGCTCTATAAACCACAATTTTCTGCTACCAAGTGTTTCCTACTATATTATCCCCAGGTCAAAATTCTGCTGTAATGAACAGTTTACTAAGACAAAGTTAATTATGTAGAAAATGCTCCACAGGTACACTGTCTTATTTCTCTTAGTACCAGTCAACCACAAAAGACCATTTTTTTGGTGATCACAGATCTTTATGCCCCCTTTTCATTCTTTTATTTAAAAGGAAACTTTAAAGTTTTAGCTTTAATGCATTAAAATGCTTATTTTTAGCCTGAGGTATAATGACTACCTTGAAATATTAGCCTCGATTAGAATAAAAAAGACATCAGTGTGTTATTTAAATAAATTTTTAAGTAATAAATTTCAGTTTTAGATACTGCCTTGCACTATTGAGTAGTATTGAGTACGTATCTACCTAAGCAAGGCACGGCAAAAACTGCTTTGAAATCAACCTAAATTACCAAGTTGGTAGTTTATTACTTTAATAGAATGATGTTAGACAACCTCATTTTTGTCATATAAACTTCAAAACATGATATTAGGTAAACCATGAATAAGTATTTGAAGTATATCATTAAAGAATGGAACTCTGTTAAAGAAACCGTAAGATTAACACACTTTTTTACAGAATCTTTGGAGACTATGAAGAAGCTGACATTTTTGTTGCAAATGAAATTTCCAAAACTTCAACTAACCCATTTGATTTCAAGATGCATAAGGATAATATGCAATTAAATTCTTTTACTGCCGTTCTTTTTTACAGATACACAGTACAGTTAAGCAGTGCTCCTCCATGCAATGAAATATAAGGTAGAACACTGTATTCCCAAGTAGATGAACATCAGTAGAAAAAGTTTCCTCCTATCCACTCACATCTGCCAAAAAAAAGAAACTTTACCTTCCCCACAGTATTAACAATTCTCACATTCAGACCAAAGATGATGAATGAAGTCCTAATCTCAGGAAACTGTCTATAATTTTATTCTCCTGTCTTTTATAAACCATAGCATGTTCCTCAGAATGGTAGAAATATTAAAACTTATGTCACATCATCAAATTTTCTGATACATACTGAACTTCTTGGTTATTGTTCAGATATGATAAAATAGCTAGAATTGCTAAGTAAAAATACTTGTGTTACTTACAATTTCTAGTATTTATAAAGTAACACAAGCACAGCCCAGAAAATGTATCATACTTGTAAGTAATAGAGCAGATGCCTTTCAGAAACAGGAACAGATTTTATAAATCTACTGGAATATTTCCCCATTCATATGTACTTACAATAACATATTTTGCAGTGTTTGTCCTGACGCTGAAACTGGAATTTGAGGCATTTCGCCAACACCTGTCTAATTTACAACAGAAATGTAATGCAAATTTCTTATAGTTTCCCAAACAACACCAATACCTTCTCATCCAGTTTCTTTTGCATTTGGCCAACATTTTATGAAATCACAGCCTAGTCAAAACTTCGTAATTACCTTTCAGATAAAATCAGAAAGAAACATCACAATAATCTTCTGGCTTTTTTTTTAAGCCTGTAATGATTATGTAGGTAATAACAGAACCAGATAAAATACTATTAACTGTATCTTACCTCTATCACTGAAGTCATCTACCAGAATGATTTCTGCTATCAGACTCTCTGGGGTTCGGTTAATTATACTGTGGATGGTACGCAGGAGTGAAGTCCAACCTTCATTATGAAATGGGATAATGATGCTGGTGTTTGGAAGCCTTTCAAGGTACATCTTGTGCTTACAACTAGAGATGATAGAAGAAGAAAAAAGCAATGTCAAAAGCGAAACTCTGCTATTTACTCACTGTTATCAAACATCTGTGAAAACTAGACTTTGTCTAATACTTTTCCAACCAGAGCTTGTACATAATAATTAGTTCATTCACGGAATTCACTAATGATCCCTTTCCCATGTGCTTTTAATGAAATAATTATTTATCCTTTTTGTATCAGGGACTCAGACACTAGGTACGAAGTGCACTGAAACATGTTCTTGTTGATGTAAACTTTTCCTAATGTTACCTAATAGCGAGAAGAACAAATTTTATGAGTCAAAATTGTTTCCACGTAGTACACCGTTAAGGTTTAGATGGGTTTCCTGGGAAGTTCTGGAAATCCAACTTCTTTAATAATTATGCTTAGTTAATCAGTTTGGGTTGTGTGTTTCAATGGCTGGGCAACATTTAAGCCCTACAGGGAAAAACACAGTTTTACAATGAAATAAATGAAGAGTTAATCTTAAATAAGCATATACGGATACAACCACATAATGAGATTACATTAAGATCCAAACCCAGACATTATCACATTTCTAGTGGAAATTATAACCAGAAATCCCACGTTGTTTTAGTCATTATGAAAAAAATCTGAGATGCCAAAAAGAACGTAGACTTTAACTTTTGGCATTGTTAAAAACAATTTACTATGTGTAATTGTTATTTTTGCATATTTATGATCTATTTAATTAGTTTCCAAGCCACACAGAGGCAGGAACCTGGTCTCAAATCTCATTTACTTCCTAGTTCAGCAAGTTGACCAAACTTTATTGAGGGTGATGAATTCACTTAAGTTTGTGAAATCTTTGAGTTACTTTAAAACTAAAATAGAGTAAAATTTCAATCAGTTATCAAATTCAGTGATTTTCCTGATATGGATAACTTGAAAACAAAAAACAGAGTGGAAATCTAGAAATAGTTTCAATTTAAATGCAGAAACATCTAATGCTTTAGCTTGGGCCAGGATACTGGCTACTATTTAGTCTAGACAAGGAAACAAACCATAGCATGACTTGAAGTATGCATAGATTCTACCAAGATGTATAGAAATGCACCAGAATATTCAAAACATTACTTAAAATATTTTTTCCCAATCAGTCATATCAACACTTTATTTTACTATGATCTTAACAGGATATATTAAACATTGCTGTGGATCTACAACAAAAGTTGCCTTACAGCTTGGGAAAACATGACAATGCAATTAAAGCCAACAAAACTAACCATCCTAGAAAAAAAAATTAAATATTTTAGATAAATAATTTGAATACACAAATATAAACATTTCCTTTTTTCTTCTGTCCATTTATTTCAATTATTTAATCTCAGAATTTATTATTTGTAACAATATCTATAAAACAAGTAGATTTTAATGTTTTTAAATATGATGAAAAGAGTTGGAAAAACACCAAAGTCATACCATGAAATGGGCATTAAGTGCTAGAAAAAAATCTGAGATTCATTTTAGGATAACACAGAATGGTTAAAAAAATATAATAGCATATGAAACAGATCTGTGAGTGATTTCCAAGGAAGTATTGTGAGATGGATGCTTTCACATATAATGCACAAGTCCGGAAAAGAGTGCTAAAGTAATTCAACACACCTGATTATAATTATGTAGGGCCATCCATTCTTCTCAACAAAGACAAAGGCCCAGATAACTGTGCTTCACTATATCACTATTCAGGATAATTGCACCTACTTGTGCAAACCATCATACCTAACAACGCAAATGGGAATGGAATTGATATTCCCAGAAAGGCAAATTATTTTTCAAACATTAAGATGAGACATTGTACATATCACTTGCTTATTAATTAAATAAGAATTGCATTCAGAGCAATACCCTATAAGCAATCAATAGTGATGTTTAACAGCTCTCTACTAATCTATTCAGAAAATAGGCAGACAAAAAGACGCAAGACTGGTCCTATGCAAATAAGGCTTTCCTTCATAAAAATGTTTTCAATAATTTCTATCTCTGTGAGCACAAACTTTTACCACACATAAGATGTGAAAAGATCTCTTCTATTCATTCATTCACTTAAGTTACAATGATCTACTGAGGTTTGATATAAGCCAGGATCCAAAATGGAGAAGAAACAATCAGCAAAACCTAATCCCTGACTTCAGGACATTTACAATATAATAGCAGGTACAAAATAGAGAGTTACAGTTTTAAACTTAAATTTGGAAAGTGCTGCAGAAATTCAGGTGAGAGCGAAAGGTGACCTGTAAAGACAGGTTCAACATATATTTAGGAATACAAATGGCATGACTTGGTAACTATCTAGGAGAAGTAGTTTAAGGAGGACTCCCATGTTTTGGACATAGGCGATTGATCTTATGAAATACAGACTTACATTAGAGCAGAGTGTGTGAGGAGCACATCTCAGGGGTGCAAAGCTTGAGGGTGAAGATTAGTTGAATTCTGATCACATTAAGGTTGAAATGTCAAATATCCTGTTGAACACAGCAATTATATCTATGGTATACACATCTATTTGTCTATGTGTGTATGCATTTCTGTATGTATGTGCATGTATATGTTTTTGGCTCAAGAAAACCTCCGTTTTACTGGAGGAACAGGCTTGTGAGTGATAGGATGTAGCAGATGGTACCAGTGGACCACCAAGTGTTATTTAGCATTCACCAGCCCAGTACATGCCAAGAGGATCCTTTATAAATACCTGCAGATCGCCAACCGAGTGCTTTCTCTCATCTCTGAACAAAGGCAGATTAGAAGTTCTGGGGGAAATTAATGTCCCCCTGAGCATGTATCAACCAACAAAGGAGGGAAGTTGGAGAATAAACAGTCCTATGGTGAGAAAACTCTGAGGTGTTTTCTATATTGTGCACCAGAGTTTGCCAGCAAGACTGAGCTTCAGTTGCCCACAGAGATAAGCATCTTGACAGTGTATCTTTTAAGGGCTTTTTCCCCTTCCCTGTCTTACTTCCTCATCCAGCCACCCCAGGTACTTTCTGTGATTCCTCTTCAAAATTACTACAATCAAAATTTGTCTCAAGGTCTGTTTCTCAGGGAACCTGTTCTTAGACATAGGCATATAAATTATGCTGCACTTGTCAAAAACAGTCTCTTCAATATAAAGTGATGGTCAAAATTCTTTAAGAAATATTACTTTTGCTGCATTATGAAACTTGCAATTTGTTACACCTGGAGATATTTTTAAAATAAGGTTTTTTTAAAAATATTTTCATACAAGCCATTTTTGTACAATCCATATTTTCATATAAGCCATACAAGCCATTAAGTTAAGTAAGAGATGTTTTATTTCTTTCAACTTCTTAATTTCTGATGCTCTGCTCAGAGCCTTCTCCATGCCTATGAAATACAGCTATCAGGACTTGACACAGTGGACATATAAAAATAGCCTTATCCTAATCAGCAGACTACTAGTAGTAAAGTTACCTTCTTTACATGAATGTGTGTAATTTATTTTTTTCAATTAGACCAAGATGGAAACCTCTCTAATATCTTGTGCTGATAATCATTTCTCAAATATTGAAAAATCATACTTTATGCATCACACTATCTAGGTTCACATGACGGCTTTGCCACTTACACCTGTGTGACAATGGGCAGGTTATTTAACTTCCCTAAGACCAGTTTGCTCATGTGGGGCCATGCAGGGGCAAAAATAAATAAATAAATAAATTTTAAGTTAAATAATTAAATTAAAAAATAAACAACCTTCACAATGTGTTCATGAGAATTAAGTTACATAATCCATGCAAAGAACTTAGTACAGTAGCATATCTGATCATAACGAGAGTTTGATAAATACCACCATTATTGTTATTGCTGTTATTGCTTTTTAATTGTTATTATTTTACCTGTCAAGTCCTCTATGGAAGGAGGGAGGAAATTAGGAGAGACAGGGACTGCACGAGGGAAAGTAAGAGATATTTAGGATATGAAGATGAATAAATTATAGTTTCTTCCCTTAAGGATTCACAGACCAGTAGGCAGATATATAAAATGATTTGACTCAAATGAGACAAGTGACATAATAGATGCCACGCACAGCAATCAGAGCCCCACAGAAATATGACTAACTTTGTCTGAAAGAATTAGGGAAGTCTTTATAGATGAGTCTCTCTGTTAAGAACAGATCATGGAGGGTCTTCAAAGTGATTCCAAGGAATGTGGACGTTAGCCTGAAGTCAACGTGAAATATTTCACATGTTGTTAGTGAGGAAGAAGACAGTATCATGTTTATATATTCCTCTTGCAGCAGGACAGACAATTGGAGACAGCAGAGGTGAGACGGAAAATTGGAGATTGTAACAGTTTTGGCAAAAGATAATGAGGATGCCGATCTGATGTTTTACTCTAAGGAAAACCAGCCTCTTTGTGACAGGGCTTAATCTGATTGAATTATATTTAGTCCTTCTAGTACTTAGCCGGCTCCAGAGAATTCACTCCCAGCCTCAGCCACTGGATTCTAGGAGTTGGGCTCCAGATGACTGCTTCTCAGCATTACTAGAAAATACTGAAGCATATCCTGAGCTTTATTAAGAATCTGCAACCTGTGTATTTTAGGCTTAATCTCAAGTTACGTGGAGAATGGAGGTATGTTAAATATGAAGGCAATATGGTAATATGGAACTGTGTTGAAGAAATAAGTAAAATAAAGTCAAACACAATTTATATGTTTATGGTGACAGATAGGTACCAAATTTACAAACAGTAAATAGGGACCAATTAAAACATTTGTTGCATTAAGCTCATAGGAATATGAATGAAAATGCCTGTCATTATTGCATTTCATATGGCTGTGTTATTTTAAAATAAGCATTTGCATAAAATTAACTTCCAGTTTAAGAATGGCTTAGAGATGAGCCATTAAGTTAAGTAAGAGATGTTATATAACATCTTTTTGTTAAGTAATAATTTACCTAAATGGATGGCAAAAACACCCTTCAAATTTTAAATGCACCAGAGA